GTCGTCCACTGGAGCAAGTGGTCGACCTCCATAGGTTACGTTGGTTGGGACATGTGCTACGCATGACACCAGATAGGTTGCCACGGCGAGCGATGTTCGCCGAGGCAGGTAGTGGGTGGAAAAAAGCCAAGCGTGGTCAAGCTAAGACCTGGCACCAGGATATGAAAACCCTAACTAGGGTACTGGGTCATATAGGTCCCGTTGAACTCCCTGGCTGGGGACCTCGGGATGATCGTACCCGAGGGTTAGAGACACCGAATGATACGGCTGGGTGTCGTAAACAGTGGCGTTCTTGCATCTCAATTTTTTTAGCAATCTTAAGCCACTGAACCTCTCCATTTTCTGTTCAACTCTACCTCTAACTTTTCTGTCTGCTGCTATTCTTCATCCAAATGAGCAGCCAAAAGACAGCAACCCAAAGCGACGCACGGAAGAGCATGCTTAATGGTTGTTCAAACTGAAACTGAAGTTATAAACTGAGCGATAGTTTATTCCAACTGATCATTAAAAGTGGTTTATAAACAAAAATAAAAACCTGGTATATTTCACTTTATGTTCTGTACAATTGAAGTCATTTAACAAATGCCCCGTTCACGCCATCCTATTTGTTATTCGTCACCAGGGGAAACCACTGGCTGAGCCGGATTGCATTCCCGAAGCAGTTTGCGAAAGTGATGGTACATAGAACCGGGCTCGTGCAATCGGGCAATGAGAACGTCTTGGTCCAGTGCTTCCATCTCATCCGCTGTGGCTGCTTGTTCATCCAAAGCACGTTTCCGTCGTCGTTTGGTGTCCTGATCTTGCACGGACTGTCGCATGTGGGTGAGGAAAGAAAGAGGACGGACACAGCTACTTAGCAATCGTTTGCAAAACAGGCATCAACGGAATTGCGGAAGACACCCTCTGAAGTATCGTTCACCACTACTGGTTAATGACAAATTAACCAATTGAGAGTGTGGTACCGTGAGGAAAACAACGGATGTATATATATAGCATGAAGCAAACAGGATTCGAGACGAAACAATACCTCTAAATCACTCTTGACCAATGCAAGACTGTAAATGAGTACAGTGTGAAAATTCGATAGAATCGCGTGAATCTATAGACAGAAAAAGAAATCTGTTTGAGAGACGGAACGCTGACAGCAAAACGGCCGAGACATAGATCTTACGAAAGCCTTGAGGCACACTATTTTTCAGTTTGTCTGCTATAGCTTTGTTCTTGAATGTCCTTTATTTTTTTCATTGTTTCTTAAAATACCCTCCCAAACGTTCTCTACCCTAGATCGTTTCTTGTTACTAGCCCATTTATGTCCGATTGTTTATTGGCCAAGCAATCTTTGTCAAGCAGGATTTCTCTTCGGTTCTCATATTGAGAACACTGTCCTTCGAACAGTTCTCCCGATACGTGATTTACACTCACATGTGTTTTCGAGATCCGGTTTTTAACGGATTACTGATCTATTCGCTGTCATCGTTCTTTGGGTTCACCGAATGCACACATCTTTTGCATCCAAATCGTGATCATCATTCAAAGCAAAGAAACGGTGAACTCGAATCGATCTCTCTGTTCCAAGTGGCCATCATACGTGACTGGTTGTGTAAAACAAATTCGAGTGACCGCACGGATCAAACCCTCGAGTAGAGTCAAGTTGGAAAAACCGTTCACGTTCACGACAGACCGAAATACGCCCAGAGGAGAAATTTTTGTGGCGAATCATCACTTGAGGTTTTTACTTATCCTTCAATACATCAGATATTCACTTTCGTAATACAACAAGTATGTGAACTCAATACACACACAAATAATCACATTCAACAATGGGAAGGTGTTTAAAACCATTGAAAAGTGCGATGGATTACATGGTTTTGCACCGCAGATGAATTTAAATGCCACCGAAAGCCTCAGTGCGGTCGCTGAGGTGAATGTCTTGGGCTGTGGCTGGTCACTCGTCCCGTACACCTCGAGAAATGCTTCTATACGACCAAGTATCTCAAACTGCCTCTGCTGAGGAAGCCCTACTTACCGCCTTCTCGTGAAGCGAAGGGTATTCCTCACCAAAAAGAAAGGACAAAAGTCCAACGTACCTAGGTTGATGAATTACTGGTAGTTCACCAAGAGAAGTTGGTTAAATAGTCTGATTCCAACAAAAGAGGGAGCGTACGAACCACACACACACACACACACACACACAAACACCTTCTTGGTCGTATTAGTGGTCACCGGTTCGAGTGGATGATGAGGTGTATCGGGCACGTTGGACATTTGACCCCGTCCAAATGTTATATGATCCGACGAAGTGCATACCGAGCCCTGATGGATAGCGGTTTTTACACACCGTCTCGCTGCCTTACAGGTCAGACTTTGGTTAATAAGTGCTCCGGTTGTGAATTCCCCAAGGAAGCACACTTGTGTTGTCCTGGGCAACCTGACAGTATTCCGTCCACATACAAGTCATGGAACGATTTTCTTTTTATAACGATCATGGTACACATGTGTAATACATACACAAACACATACATACATGCATACATACACATATGCATTTAATTCATTCTGATTACGTTGCGACATGTCGCAAAAAAAACATCGGAAACAAGATGCCAAACTCGGGGAAAAAATTAGACAGAATAAGATTGGGATAAAATGTTCATTTACACAAACAATATGAATGTATACGAACAACAACAGTGCTTGTATCACATTGTTCCGTTCAGCTAATCCATACTGTCATGCGCTACTTCTGAAAGGTGAACAGAGATCAACTATGCGCAAGTAAAATACGCGGGACAGTCTTCTTATGGATTTCGTGAGAATCGAATCGACGACTCATTTCTAGGGCTAGGCCGAATCTCCAATCAAAAGGCTCATTCTTGCCCGTACAAGGCTAGACTATCCCCATCATGAAAGAAAGAAGAAAACACTGTGGCGAACAGAGCTTGTCTTTAACAACTTCTTACTCGAGCTAATAGTTATACAGAGAGGATTCAAAATTGTCAAACTAGTAGTTCGTTTCCCGTGGCTTTAACCTCACACAACCGACTGAAACGACCGTGAAAATTGGCATGACCCAGGGGGAGCAGGATGGAAAGGGAACGGCTTACGCAATCCATCGATTGTGAACAGTTCCAAACCACACAACAACAACAACAACAAGAAAACCCTAACCCCTGCAGTTCCAACCCACCCACCTAGTCAACTGTATTACGCAGAGGAGGTTATCGAAAATAAGCTTGGCTCGCTGCAGTGTTATGAATTTAGTTTCCACGATTCGATGAGCCTGGCAGACGACGGTGAAATGTTTTACGCTAGGACAGCGAACGAAATAGAGATTGTTTGGAACGCGAAACTAAGCCCCGTGTAGTCTGTTTTTTTCCCCATCCCAGACGAAACGAAGTTGGCGCGTACGAGCTGGTCTGAGGGCGTTCTCGTCAACGATGCCCGACCGAATGGATGATAAGGCATATTGGGCATCATAGATAAGTGAACCACGCCTGAAGGGTATGTGATCTGAGGGTAGTGGACAGAGATTCTCAATAGAATGCGATTTTTACACACCGCCAGGCTATTTTACGAGTCAAGCTTTCTGAGGACTTTGGTTGTGAAGATTCAAGAAAATTCATCATCATTTACCATCGTTGATGCACAAAAAATATAAAAAACACCGACAACGAGCTGTGGATCACAAATATAAACAATCACCTCAATCAGCTGAGTATCTAGCTGTTTCCCATCCGTGATCGATTTGGTTGCAGACAAATCTTTAGTTACGTGGGGACCTCGAATCAGTTGCAGACGCAATCCTAGTCCGTGAGTGACGGAGTCGGTCACGTGAATCTCAACGGTGACATGATCGAAAATGGAGTAGCGTTGGACTTCTCCCGTGCGAGGATCGCGCACTTCCAAACGTCCACAATCTCCTCTGGTCGAATCGTAGACCCGTTCGACCTGTACAAACGGGAGAGAATTCAACGAGAAAAACAACTCTCCGATGAAGCGGATCGATCGAACAAAACCATTCCGGGCGGGGGGATGAGATTTAGAAAACAGAATTGCACTTATCGAACACAGACACAGAGGCTAGAACGAGTATTTATAACTAGGTATCATGGATGCTTTTTTATTATTGCACACCAGTGTGTGATGAATAGCAGTCGGAGCGGACCCCATAGTCACGATGACCTGCTGTTCAGTGATGGTAACCGGTAACCTAAGCCCCGCGGGACTTGAAGTGGCGAACCGCATAATGTCTCGATAGGTCAGACGTGGTATCGAACTAACCGACAGCAAGGCTGCCGATGGAGATAACCGATTTCAACTTAGTCCATGTAGGATGTGTTGAATAGTGTATTGGATAAACGCCTTCGTCACAAAATCCATTGACTGTGATGTGAATTGAATTTTGGGATGGTAGTAGTCGTAGTAGGATCGATATAGTGCTGATCTTTAGGGCGAGCACAGTGTATCATTAGCACCGGTATGACGGGGTCTGAACTCAACCGATAGGAATCTAAACTACTCGAGATCGGCGAACAGGGCGATCAAAAGGAAACAAACATACCTCACAACCACC